AAACATATTTAGCCATTATTCATTATTGTGGTCAACTTCAGTTAAATGCTTGTACTGAACTAGAAAGTACATTTTTTTGGCACATCAGCCCCTCCTAGAACTTTCTTCACCATACACCATTTGGGTCTTTTTTCACTTCCAAACAAAGTCACGGTAAACTAAGAGCTTTGATGGCTTTGTTGTATCTGCTGGTCTTATTCTGCCAGCTACTCGCTCTGGCGCCGTTGCCGTTTTATCCTTCAGCTCTGTAAAACGATGCGCCTGTGTAGGCTGTTTCTTTATGTGGGTTCAACAAACAGCCTGCTCATTAGTTTGAGCATCGCTGCCACCTAGTGACTGGAGGCTGACAAGCTACGAATATCAATTCTAGACATTTTCTATGAACTTGTGATGTACCACCTCCAACACATAACTACAGTGTGTATGTAAAGTATTCAGATCCCCGCCAATGTTTTATTCTTTTAATATTGCAACCACTTGCTAAAATCATATAAATAAATATTTTCTTCATTAACATACACACAGTACACCGTTATGACGGAAAAATACAGAATTTAGAAATTAATGCAGATTTATTAAAAAAGAAAAACGGATATATGACATGGTCCTAAGTATTGTAGCGTGGGCACATCTACATACTAGGATTTAACACTGTTTGCTTCAGTTTGGTTAGATCCTGAGAAAAGATCGGACATTAGCATATGAACTTATATTATGCACAAATATCTGGGATATTAATGCAGTCGATAGAAGTTCATACACTAACGGTCTTGGTCTATATTTTAAAGATTCATGTTTAATTTAAGATAATTAAATTTAATAGCAAAAGTTATTTATTGAATCAGAAGCTTAAAGGAATCTTTGCTTATTCAATAACCAAAATATACACCATTCTGTGTTTCATTTCAAAGAAGAGTCAGGTTTAAAAAAGTTAAGAATTTATTACTAACACTTTTAAAAATGACAATTTGAAATGACAATTTGTAAAAATGACAATTTGTAACTGACAGTTTGTAACAGCTGGATATTAAAACTTGTTATTAAAAGCTTTACCTGTGTCTGAATGAAAAGCTAAAGTGGAGTGTGAGGTTTGGATGCGTGAATGAATCTCAGAAGGTTTCTTTCAGAGAGAGAAGCATGTTCTGGGTGAATACATTGTTTTTTCAGCTAACTGATGTTTCTTAGAGAACAGCATATACAGACGCCATCTGTCGGACAATGTCTACCTCACCCAGTTCAGGAGACCCTCCGTGGATCCGAGATGTCAGGTGGAGAATTTCTTCCTCCGGGCACGAGGTTGGTAGAGAGACCACGGTGCGTCTCAAGTCGGTCCTGAGACGCCTCCGTGGGTCACACGACTGATGAAACTATTTGTGTCTGAAAATCAATAACTCTGAAGGAGTTTTGCGTCAGCTGGAAACAGGTGCGTCTATTCGGAGCAATTCTATCGGCGTGACAGAATGCTTTCTGAGGCTGGGGCAGCCGACCCTCGTCCTCTGGGGTTCAAGAACTGGACTTCAGCTGCGGAGATTTGGTTTTAACAAAACCTCAGAACACGCCCTCTCAGTGTCAGAAAGCTTGATGTTATGGAGTAAAGAGCTGTGAGGTGGTTTACCTTTACCCTGGATTGTCATGATCTGCCCCTGCCTTCCTGACTGTGTCCCTCTCCTGCCTCATTAGTCCCTATTGGTTTCACCTGCCCCTTGTTAGCCTGCCCATGTGTTCCTCATTTTCCCCAGTGTATTTATACCTCCCGTCTCGTTATGTCCTTTGTCACATCATTGTTGTTGTTTCAAGTCATCATTGTGTTTTGTTCCTGCCGTTCCCGTTCTGGAATTAAATTCATTTTTATTTTATCCGAGCCTGCTCTTCTGCCTCCTGGAACCTTCCACCACACATGGTCCATCATCTCCACCATCACAACATGACAGAATGATCTGACCAACCTGGACCTGTGGTGAGCACTTACACATCTCCCTGGAGGATTTATTTTTACTTTTTCTCTTTTTAGCGGAAGGAGATTCGGACTCAAGGTGTTTGGCACATCCTACCTGTTTCCGGGGTGGTCGAACCATTGAGGGGGTTTCGGCGCATCCTACTCGTTCCCGGGGTGGTCGAACCCCTTCTCCTCTCCTGCTTTCTGCCCCGTCCTGTTTTTTCACGGAAGCCGCCGTTTCCTGGAGTTTTCGATGGAGGTAAAACCCCCTACGCACGCCAACGTTCTCCAGGGTGGTAGGGCTGGTCTTACCGCTCCATGTGTGCTTCCCTTCACCCGAGCCTCTGCCGGTGGATCCAGTCAACTCATGGTGTGCACCTGCTCTGGACTGTTCTCGAGTAACTGCTACCACTCATGGTTTCCTCGCGTCGCTCCTGCTGTTCGTCTTGCTTCCTGGTTCACGCCTGCGGGGTCTGTGCCTTCAGGTCCTTCACGCTGCAGTTCCTGCTGGGTTCCACGCCTGCTGCTGCAGTTCCTGCTGGTTCCCACGTCTACTGCTGCAGTTCCTGCTGGGTTCCACACCTGCTGCTGCAGTTCCTGCTGGTTCCCACGCCTACTGCTGCAGTTCCTGCTGGGTTCCACGCCTGCTGCTGCAGTTACCACAGGGTCCTGTCCCGGCTGCTGCGGTTTGTCCTCCTGTCAAGTCAAGTGTTCCTGTCAAGTCAAGTGTTCCTGTCAAGTGTTCCTGTCAAGTCAAGTGTTCCTGTCAAGTCGAGTGTTCCTGTCAAGTCGAGTGTTCCTGTCAAGTCGAGTGTTCCTGTCAAGTCGAGTGTTCCTGTCAAGTCAAGTCGAGTGTTCCTGTCAAGTCAAGTCGAGTGTTCCTGTTAAGTCAAGTCGGGTGTTCCTGCCAAGTCAAGTCGAGTGTTCCTGCCAAGTCAAGTCGAGTGTTCCTGCCAAGTCAAGTCGAGTGTTCCTGCGTCATCAAGTCGAGTGTTCCTGCGTCAAGTCGAGTGTTCCTGCGTCAAGTCGAGTGCTCCTGCATCAAGTCAAGTCGAGTGCTCCTGCGTCAAGTCAAGTCGAGTGTTCCTGCGTCAAGTCGAGTGTTCCTGCGCCAAGTCAAGTCCCTGTCCCGAGTCAAGTCAAGTGTTCCCGGTCTCCTGTGGTGTGTGGCCTTGTGGGCGTCTGGTATCCGCCCCTTGGGGGCAGAGAACCTGCTCTTCTGCCTCCTGGAACCCTCCACCACACATGGTCCATCATCTCCACCATCACAACATGACATGGATACAGCCCTCTGCATAAGGTGTACATGTGCAAATAACCTTCTGGTTTACTGACTACTCATTACTGATTATCATAAATAATAATTATTATTACCCAAAGCATAATAAGTCATTTCAATTATGAAATACATTCATACTGAACATGATGATTATTTTATGATGATTGTAACAAACCTCTTAATAAACAGTCAAAGAGTTTATTAAAATTATTATTTAAAATTATTATTTTAAAATCTTGAAGTGTCCTTCTTCTTGGGACGGAACAGCAGCAGATAAAGATGATGTTTAGCAGACATCATGGCTCCTGATGGGTAATCTGTGGGACAAAGTTACAGCTCGACCCAGCTTGATCCAGCTGGGAAAGTGTCACCTTTGGGTCACAAATATGAGGCTATTCATGACGCTACAGTATTCAGACCCTTTGCTCAGTATTTAGTAGAAGCACCTTTGAGCTCATACGGCTATAAGCCATGAGTCTTCTCTGTAAAGATGCAACAAGTTTCTCACATCTGGATTTAAGGATCCTTTGCCATTTTTCTTTTTTGAAGATTGTCTCCAGTTCTGTCCGGTTTGATGGTGAACATTGGTGGGCAGCCCCTTTTAGGTCTCTCCAGAGATGCTAAAATGGGTTTAAGTCAGGACTCTGGCTGGGCCATTCAAGAACAGTGACAGAGTGGCCCTGAAGCCACTCCTCCATAATTTAGCTGTGTGTTTAGGGTCATGGTCATGTTGGAAAGTAAACCTTAGGCCCAGTCTGAGATCCTGCGCACTCTGGAGAAGGTTCTTGTCCAGGATATCCCTGTACTTGACTGCATTCATCGTTCCCTCAATTGCAACCAATCATCCTGTCCCTGCAGCTGAAAAACACCCCCACAGCACAATGCTGCCACCGCCATGCTTTACTGTGGGGACTGTATTGGACAAGTAATGAGCAGTAATGTGGTTTTTTTCCACACATACTGCTTAGAATTAAGGCCCAAAAGTTTTACCTTAGCCTCATCAGACCAGATAATCTTATTTCTCACCATCTTGGCGTCCTTCAGGCATCTTAGCAAACTCCACATGGGTTTTCATGTGTCTTGCACTGAGGAGAGGCTTCGGATGGGTGATGGTTGACTTTCTACAACTTTCTCCTATCTCCACCTCTGGAGCTCAGTCAGCCACAGTGATCTTTGGGTTATTTCCTCTCTCACCAAGGCTCTTCTGCCTCGGTAGCTCAGTTGGGCCGGACGGCCTGCTCTAGGAAGGACTCTGATGGTCCCAAACATCATCCATTTAAGTATTATGGAGGCCACTGTGCTCTAAGGAACCTTAAGTGCAGCAGAGGTCTTTTTGTAACCTTGGCCAGATCTGTGCCTTGCCACAATTTTGTCTCTGAGCTCTTCAGGCAGTTCCTTTGACCTCATGATTCGCATGCCACACATGAACATTGATGTATAGTTTTCATGTATTTGTAATACAAACCAAACATCTCTTACAAAAGAATGAATGAATGGTAATAAAGGTACTTCATATTTTATAAATTTGGCACGCTGAATCATCAGATGCTTCATGGCCTGATCATGCACACTTCAGACAGAACGCCACACAGCTTCTGATGTCTAAATCTGATTCTTTTTATTTCAGTCAACCATGTGCAGATGCCATAAGGGTGAAAAAGACTAATAAGGCTTTTTTAAACTGAGCTGGCTCAATGTAGTGGTGGTTAGTAGTGCAACAATGGTGTTTGGCCTTTGACCTGTTTTGAACTGTGTTTGACCTATTTTGTATTTTTTCTTCTGCAGCCAAGTTCTGTGGAGATCCTGGCGTTCCTGGCAGAGGAAAGCGTGACGGACGCAGTTTCATCTTTAAGTCAGAGGTGACATTTAGCTGCAGTGCCCCCTACATGCTGGTTGGATCATCAACACGCATGTGCCAGGAAGATGGCTCTTGGAGTGGATCCCAGCCTCGATGTATAGGTAAGCTTTAGATAAGTTTTGTTCACTTGTGAATTATAATGGTTTACTACATGGAGACATTTTGAGTACAGATATAGAAAGTGATCAAGTCCCATTAATCATCACACACTGTTGAAAATTTTCTCCGCATTTGATGCATTCCCGTGGGGAGCGGTGAGCCGCAGCTGTGGCCGCGCTTGGAAACCATTTGGTGGTTTAACCCCCCAAACCGACCCCTTAAAGCTGAGTGTCAAGGTAGGCAAGATCGACTCAGAGGTGATTCCCTGGTCCTCTGACTCTTCTAATACCAATCTGATGAGATCTGTGTCATGTTGAGGATGTGGAGTGGAGATGGACCATGTGTGGTGGAGAGTTCAGGAGGCAGGAGAGCAGGAACGGATGAAAAATAAAACTGGTTTTAATGGTGGAATGGGAACGACAGGAACAGAACAACGATGACTACAAACAATGATCTGACAAAGACTGGCATAAGGAGGGAGGTATAAATATACAGGGAAATCAGGAACACATGGGCAGGTTAACGAGGGGCAGGTGACAACAATAAGGGCTAATCAGGGCAAGAGAGAGACACGGTCAGGAAGGCAGGGGCAGAACGTGACAGTACCCACCCACCCCCCCCCCACCCCCCCGTAAGGGGCAGATGCCAGACACCCACAAGGCCACATAACACAGGGGACTCGGAGAACTTGGAACACTGGACTTGGGAGACTTGACAGGACAGGAAACACTTGACTCGACTGGGACAGGACACACTTGACTCGGGGGGGGGAACCAGAACACACTTGACTCTGGGGGGGAAACCAGAACACACTTGACTCGGGGGGGAACCAGGACACACTTGACTCGGGGGGGGGGGGGGGGGGACCAGAACACACTTGACTGGGGGGGGGGGGGGGGACCAGAATACACTTGACTCGGGGGGAAACCAGAACACACTTGATTCGGGGGGAAACCAGAACACACTTGACTCGGGGACACAGGAACACACTTGACTCGGGGGGAAACCAGAACACACTTGACTCGGGGGGAAACCAGAACACACTTGACTCGGGGACACAGAACACACTTGACTCGGGGACACAGGAACACACTTGACTCGGGGGAAACCAGAACACACTTGACTCGGGGGCGAAACCAGAACACACTTGACTCGGGGGGGGGGGGGGGACCAGAACACACTTGACTCGGGGGGGGGGGAGGGGGGACCAGAACACACTTGACTCGGGGGGAAACCAGAACACACTTGACTCGGGGGGAAACCAGAACACACTTGACTCGGGGATACAGGAACACACTTGACTCGGGAACACAGGAACACACTTGACTCAGGGGAAACCAGAACACACTTGACTCGGGGGGGAAACCAGAACACACTTGACTCGGGGGGGAAACCAGAACACACTTGACTCGGGGGGGGACCAGAACACACTTGACTCGGGGGGGGGGGGGGGGGAAACCAGAACACACTTGACTCGGGGGGGGGGGGGAACCAGAACACACTTGACTCGGGGACACAGAACACACTTGACTCGGGGACACAGGAACACACTTGACTCGGGGGAAACCAGAACACACTTGACTCGGGGGCGAAACCAGAACACACTTGACTCGGGGGGGGGGGGGAACCAGAACACACTTGACTCGGGGGGGGGAACCAGAACACACTTGACTCGGGGGGAAACCAGAACACACTTGACTCGGGGACACAGGAACACACTTGACTCGGGAGAAACCAGAACACACTTGACTCGGGGGGGAAACCAGAACACACTTGACTCGGGGGGAAACCAGAACACACTTGACTCGGGGGGGGGGGGGGGGGGGGGAAACCAGAACACACTTGACTCGGGGGGGGGGGGGGGGGGGACCAGAACACACTTGACTCGGGGGGGGGGGGGGGGGGGGGGGAAACCAGAACACACTTGACTCGGGGGGGGGACCAGAACACACTTGCCTCGGGGGGGAGGAACCAGAACACACTTGACTCGGGGGAAACCAGAACACACTTGACTCGGGGACACAGGAACACACTTGACTCGGGGACACAGGAACACACTTGACTCGGGGACACAGGAACACTTAAACTGCAGCAGCCGGGCGTGGGACCCAATAGAGACTGCACGAGCAGGCGTGGGACCCAGCAGAGACCTGCAGCAGCAGGCGTGGGACCCAGCAGAGACCTGCAGCAGCAGGCGTGGGACCCAGCAGAGACTGCAGCAGCAGGCGTGGGACCCAGCAGAGACTGCAGCATGAAGGGCCTGCAGGAATAGACCCTGCAGGCGTGGACCAGGAAGTGGGACAAAACAGCAGGAGCGACACGAGGAAACCAGGAGCGGTAGCAGGTACTCGGCAAACAGTCCTGAGCAGGTGCACACCATGACTCGACTGGATCCAACAGGCGGAGGCTTGGGTGAAGGGAAGCCGACACGGAGCAGGAAGACCAGCCCTACCACCCCGGAGAATGTTGGCATGCGTTGGGGGTTTTACCTCCATCAAAAACTCCAGGAAAAGCAGCTTCCATGAAAAAACAGGACGGGGCAGAACAGCAGGAGAGGAGAATGGGTTTGACCACCCCGGGAACAAACAGGAAGCGCTGAAACGCCCTCAATGGGTCCGACCACCCCGGAAACAGGTAGGATGCGCTGAAAAACCCCTCGAGTCAGAATCTCCCTCAGCTGAAAGGGAAAAAAAGAAAAAATAATCCTCCAGAAACAGATGTTAAGCTCACCACAGGTCCAGGTTGGTCAGATCATTCTGTCATGTTGAAGATGTGGAGAGGAGATGGACCATGTGTGGTGGAGAGTTCAGGAGGCAGGAGAGCAGGCACGGATGAAAAATAAAACTGGTTTTAATGGTGGAATGGGAATGACAAGAACAGAACAACGATGACTACAAACAACAACAATCTGACAAAGACTGGCACAGGAGGGAGGTATAAATATACAGGGAAATCAGGAACACATGGGCAGGTTAACGAGGGGCAGGTGAGAACAATAAGGGCTAATCAGGGCAGGAGAGAGACACAGTCAGGAAGGCAGGGGCAGAACGTGACAATCTGATTCAATCAGTGCAAATCAGAAGCTCTCCCAGTACAACACTCACCAGCACTCCCACAGACTCTCCTTCTCCAACTTGTCAAGAGTTATTTTCAACTGGTGGTCATAATGTTTTACCGTTTACATTCAGCTAAAGCTATCCTTATAGCCCTGAATGCTGAAGACACGTTTTACCGGCTTCAGATAATTGCTGGAAAATAATTCTGCACCAAGAAATTCATAGTGGAAGATAATTCTGCTCACATTAGCGTGCCGCTTCAGCGAGTGTCTGCTGGTACATGATACTCCTGAGAGAAATGGCTTTTCCTTTATCAGTGATTTTTTTTCTCCCTCTTTACCATTCTCATTTTTACTCTGCTGCAGCACCTAACCGACACAAAGCGTTTCTTGTTTCAGAGCCTACGAGAACCACATGTGAAAATCCAGGAGCACCTGACCATGGCTTCATGAATTACACTACAGGCTTTAAGGTAAAGCGAACATGTTCGAGAAAATTTAGCTTCTCAGGAAAAAATACGAAATTAGCATCAATGAATTTCCAGTCACTGGGAGATTCCTTAGGCTGAATGTAGAGTGAGTAGGCTATGTCTTTACCACTTGAGCATGAGTCGTTTTAAGGCTGCAGCACTTGGCTGTTAAATCTGCAGACCCACCCACATGTCAGAGCATCCTTCTGCAGGACACTGAACTCCCAGTCGCTCCTGGTGGAGGGCAAGCAGCCTGCTTCAGAGCTCTGCCAACGTTGATGTGGGTATGCGAATGTGAAACACTTAAGGTGAAGGTCCATTTGCAAATGTCAGCTGTGCCATATCTGATAAAATCTTTCCAGATGTTGCTTTAATCCCAAAGACAGGTGCACATTTGTGTCCAGCTCTTGACATTGTTATACAAGAGGAAAATATTTAGTACTAACTTACTAGACTGTAACTGGAAAATGAATTAACATGTACTCAGTGAGTACAACACACCATGGTCCTTGAGAGATATTGGCATTTTCCTGAAAAGCGGACACTGGATGAGAATAAAGCTCATTGCCATGCTGTGTCGACTGTATGTAGCCCTCTCTCAAATGGGAGTCTTCCAATTGATTTCTTGGTCGAATGGTAATTTCCTCCTTTCAGTGATGCTATGTGGATGTAAGGATTTTTAGTTAAGTGTGTGCACATCCTCCCCAAGTGATCACAGACACAAAAACCAGCTGGATTTCTCTGCATTGACTTTCTGTGTAAAGGATTGTGCCTGTGGCAATGCGCAGTGTCAGGGTTTAACGGTTAACACCAAGGTGACAGTAAAGTACAGTAGGTTTTATTTATTTATTAAGTTTCACAAATAAGGTGCAAACAGTTCTCTAATGACAGTCTCTAATGTGAAGTGCTCTGACCTTCCTGTTTCTGCATATTTGACAAACTAGACATTTTGACACCATTAAATGAGAAAATTCAGTCTGCCTTGTTTTTATAGGCTCAGCTGGAATAATCATTTAAACTGAAAACAAATGTAATGGTCCAGCTTTGTACATCTTCTCCCATGACATTTAATGTGTGTGCAGCAGTTTAAAAGGCAAACATGAAAAACTGCCTTTTGAAATATTCTCTGTCTGCCATCACACACACACACACACACACACACACACACACACACACACACGCACGCACGCACGCACGCACATGCACACACACACACACACACACACACACACGCATGCACACACACACACGCACACGCATGCACACACGCACAAGCACACACACACACACACACACACACACACACACACACACACACACACACACACACACACACACACACACACACACACAATGTTCATTCTAAAAGGAAAAAAAACGTTTGCATACAATATTCAATCTAAGCTTTTTAGATTCATTGCTGGATGCTTATTGGCATTTGCATCAGTGTATTGATTCTTTCCACTTTGTGTGTTGTCTGTTTGTGGGCAGGTGGGCAGCAGAATAGACTTCCAGTGCCAACAGGGACACATACTGCAAGGGTCCACCACCAGGCTGTGTCTGCCAGACCTCACCTGGACCGGCGTCCAGCCTAGCTGCATCCGTGAGTTCCTGTTCCTTGTGGTCTCCCTTCATCTTCACATCTCGCTCCGAGAATTTGTTTCTCAGTAGCTCTGCCGGGTTTGTGTCACTGTTTAGCTGGCTGCTCAGACACTCTTTTTACACTTGTCTTCACCCCGTCACCAGCTATCCTTACTGTCAGTGCCAAGTTTTCCCATTTGCTTGATCCTCTCATAAACTTTGACCTTTCAGTAGATTGCTTCTTGTACCTCAATCAACCTGAAAGTGGAGTGTTGATCATGATTGCTGTGGTTCTGTTGGAACCACGTGAACCGTGGGCCAACATCAAACCCAAGCAGAGCTGTTTATCCCCTTCCCTTGGCCAAGATGAACAGGTCACAACATGCGGTGTATTTTAGTGCTTCACAGGAATCCCTTTCAGCTTCAACACGTTTTAATGAAACTGTTACCGTCTCAGACCTTTACACAGGTTGTCTTATTTGTAGCACGTCCAGAGTAAACAGCAGAGCTCCTTCATGACAAGAAACTCAGATGAAATGATCCAGTGTTGATTTAAAATGATTAAGTCTGCCACCTACTTGAGTCTTGGTTACATTTTTGCTGAGGAAGCAGAAATATTGCTAACTTCTTTATTTTCATCCTGATCCTCTCTGCAGCACCAGTCCTAATGTGGCTGTTTAACTGTGAACAAGACGGGTTTTATGGTATTTTATTGTGTATGAACACAGTTAAGTGTTTATAAAGAGGACCTAACTAAAGCCATTATTTTCTGATTGTACAGAAGTTGAACAGAAATGAGCTCCTAATAAGAATTAAGCTAGTAGCAGTAGCTCAGGTGGTAGAGCGGGTTGCCTCATGATCGGAGGGTCATGGGTTCGATTCCAGCTCCCACCAGAGGTATTCTACTGTTGTGTCCTTGGGCAAGACACTTCACCCAACTTGCCTGTGTTGGTGGTGGTCAGAGGGGCCGACAGCGCCAAATGGCAGCCTCTTCTCTGTCAGACCACCCCAGGGGGCTGTGGCTACAATGTAGCTTACCATCACTGGCAGTGTGTGAATGCGAGAGTGCATGGAAGCGTCTTTGAGTGTCCTAAACAAGCGCTATATAAGTTTGATTATTATTATTATTATTAATTGTTATGCATGTTGACTTTGTTTTAGGTCATCTGGCCCTGCTGTTTTTACCCAGACATGAAACGGTACCTAACATACCTCAATACCGACCAACATAATCATCAGTAGTAATAAATAACTCTGCCTTTTTAAAGGATGAGCTGTTTGGTACCAGGGTGTGTACCACTCTGAACATGAACCCTAGAAGGTTAAGGAGACGTTTATTGACCAGAACATTAAAGGTAACGGCTAGAAGACCATCTCCAGACAGCTTGATGCTCCTCTAAAGCTCCCTGGATGTTCACATAAGAAGACAAAATTAGAAGGGAAATATATTATGAATGGTGTCCAAGGAACTCAGAACCGGTTATAAACAAGCAGCCGTGAACTCCAAAATCAAGAAACATCAACTTTCCCAGCAAACAGTCAACGTTGCATGGACGTGCAGATCATGGTAAATGGTAAATGGCCTGTATTTGATATAGCGCCTTCTAGAGTCCTAGAATCCCCCTCAAGGCGCTTTACAACACAATCAGTCATTCACCCATTCACACACACATTCACACACTGGTGGGGATGAGCTACGATGTAGCTGGGGCACAATGACAGAGGTGAGGCTGCCGAGCACTGGCGCCACCAGTCCCTCCGACCACCACCAGCAGGCAACGTGGGTTAAGTGTCTTGCCCAAGGACACAACGACAGCGACAGACTGAGCGGTACTCGAACCAGCAACCTTCCGATTACGGGGCGAGCACTTAACTCCTGTGCCACCGTCGCCCCAGATCATGTCCATATTGAGTCTGTCGGTCCAGACCAGTCTGTAGGACGTCCAAGATAGATCTTTGCACAGTAGCTTCTTGTAAAATAGATTAGAGAAAATGGGAGGTTTTTGGTAAATAACATCAAATATTCAACATACAAAGAAAAGAACATTGGAGCTACTGTGAAAGATGGACAAGACTCACTTCTGCACTGGGGCTGATTTACCAGAGCTGGCCTTGGGTTTCATGAATTTGTTCAGGGTCAGATTACATCTCGAGACTATTTAGTAAACATCTTACTGTTTAGCTCTCAGTCGTGTCTTTTGGATCAGTATAGACTCATGTGGTGGAGTGTCTCCTGTCTGTTTTATTCCATTTCTATGTTTGAAATATTATTGGACATAATTCTCTGTTGGGTTACCACCAGTCAGTGTTTCATGAAGACTAGTTAGTTCAAACATCCATCTATTCTTTCTACTACTTTACTTAAAGGCCGTCGTCGTTGTCGTCTTCCTCCGCTTATCCAGGTCCGGATCGCGGGGGCAGCATCCCAACTAGGGAGCTCCAGACCGTCCTCTCCCCGGCCTTGTCCACCAGCTACTTAAAGACCAAAGAACTCAAACATCACTAACATACCAGTTTATGTCAGCTTGAGAAACATTTTATATTTCATGTGGATCCTCATATTTTTCTCCATTTACTCAAATGTTCCTTTTAAATTTGGATTAGTTGACCCCAGCTTGGTTTTTCTTAACCCAAGTTGGGGTCTTAACCCCAATTTTGGAAACCAGTGGATTACTGGAGTCTTTGATCATCTTTTTTTCCAGTTTGTACAGAATAGTTATGTCTACTCATATGATGTGATGTAAAAATACGAAATTATAATTATCAGTCTTCAATATGGTGACATCATTTAATGCTGCAATACAGAAGTTTTTCCAGTTCAAATTCAACATGTTGTAACAAAAACATTTGTTTATGGGTTTATTACCAGTTTGAAGGCAATTAGCTTATCAGATATGCACAGTTCAAATTTAAATGATGTTTATTTTAATATCTGACAGCAGAGCGCACTTGTCAATGCTTCAGCCGTTCCTCTTTTTTAAACTATTGACCCTGTCATCCAGCTCAGCCTCTTGACTCCTTAAAGGCGTTTAATGCTGTGCTGTGATGCGTGTCTTAGATTAAATCAGTCAGAAATTTTAATCCATTTCATTCTAGGTTAACGTTCTCACCAACTCCTAAAACCGCCTCTTACAATTTCAGTACAATTAAAGAACTTCTGATGATGAGAAAAGTTTTAGCAGGTTGGAGAAAAAAGATGCAGTAAAGAGCAGTTTCAGATGAAACTACCAGCTAAAATCTATTAAAGTTGCACCGTCCTCTTTAGCCTGGAGACAGACTTAAACATATATGTATAAAAGAAGAATACGATGGAGGATAAATTACTGAGCAAGAATGAAAGTGTTGCAGCTTTGAAATGGAACGTTACTTACCATCACTTTGAAGTTGTCGAACACCGGTTCTCTTTATTAACCTTTAAGGGAGCTGACGTGCATGATAACCTACCTTTGATTATTATGGAAATAAAGTGAAGATCCTTCTTGTGTTGTCTTAAGGGCTTATTATGGAGCTCTTTCACAGCTGAATGATCGTAATGCTCGTGTCTAAAAAAAGGCAACACAAGTCAAAAGGAAATAAGAAAATACACACACGCACACGCACACGCGCGCGCACACACACACACACACACACACACACACACACACACACACACACACACACACTCTCTCTATTCTGTAGGTGAGACAGTAAAAATGGCTTTCAGTAGATAAGATGGCAGCCCTCTGGTTTAGTCTAGTCATTTTAGCTGTGCTCCTTCGTCCGGAGACACTAATGTAGCTTCAACACTAAATAGTCTCTTATTTATGGCCGTACTGTGGACTGATAAATAAATGAGCTCATCTGGATTAGTCTACAGTATTTTCCAGTTCTCTGCAAATAATGTCAGCATTTTATTTTGAAGCATCGTTCACAAGAACACATCATGCTTATTTCCGAAAGGAGAATGGTCTCATTTTTAGTTTTTCAGTGATGTTGGAGGTCTTTCATTGGGAAACATTTTTTTACTTAGGTTATTTATTGGTCACTCTGAGGTTCTCATGCAGGCTGAACATAAAAAATTGTCTCCTACATCTATCTCCTATGTTAGCTTCTGATAGAAAACAGATGGTGAAACTCTAGGATTAGAAATTCCTGACAGAGCTACGTCACACTGTCACTTAACATTCATGGACTCACCCATCTAGACTCATGACAGGGTTGGCTGTTGTTGGTTTAGTGTCCAGGAAACAGCAGAGAAAGTCTTTGCTATTAGAAGCTAACCATTAGCATTAACAACTCCACCACACAGCAGAACTCCTCCAGGCTTTTGTTATTTGTGAAGATAAAACACCAGCATTGCAGTGCAGAGTCAGTGTTGAAAATGAGACTTCAAATCCTGTTGTCTGAAGCTGCTTTATCCTCCAGTCTTCCATCGTGGCAAAGGGGGCGGTCCCGTAAATGGAGTAATGTCATGTGATCAATAGGTAAATTCCTGCCTAAAGCTTCTTTGCATTAAATTAAACAATTTCATTTAATGTTATAAGTTGATCTGGAATATTGTACAACCTCTGAACCTAAATGCACCAAAATGCAGCTATTTTGGATGCCAGCAATGATTATTACCAATTTCCTCGTTGCCTCCATCTGACAATTTGCTTTTCATGTTTATTTTTTTCATGTCAGCTGTGATCACACTATATTTCACCGCTGCAACAACAAGGTGCTCTCCGAAGGTTACTTCCATGTTTCTATGTTGCTTGCAATTTAAGCCTTGATTACCATGGTTACCGGTAAAATGCCACAAATCAGCCAGCTTATTTTTGTGCAGAGTGTTTATAAAGTGCTTTGCATTGAACATTGATGGCAGAAAGTGGGTGTTCAGGAGGCAGGAAAGTATCTCAAAACTCGTGAGCACATTTGTAAGACAGGTGTGATTTATAAAGCAGGCCTTGTGTGCAGTGGGGTGGGAAGGGTGGAGCGGTGGGTGGTTTAAGCAGGGTTTTATAGGTCGGAAAATGTATTCGTGAAGGCAAAGTTCTTTTG